AATTATAAATATGATAAAATAATAATAAATTATAAATATAAAACAATTTGTTTATATATAATTATAACTTATCAAAATTTTTCGAAAAATTGAAAATATAACAATTTTCTACACAAATTTTTTACAAAAAATTTCCAGAATATTGCGAATTTTTTTGTAAAATTTCCAGAATATTTGCAAATTTTTATTATAAAAAATTCTGAAAAACTGCGAAAATTTTCAGAATATTGTGAATTTTTTTTCTGGAAAATTTTGGGAGTCTGCAGAACTTCCAGAAAATAATCAAACTGAAAAATTTCCGGAGATTTTTGCCTTTTAAAATTTCCTGATATATTTCACATTGTTCATCTAATTTGGTCATCTGTTATATTAATTTCACTTGTTAGATTAAATTTGGAAAGTGATGTAAACACGAATAAATCCAATGAAATGAAATTTATCTTGAAATTATATACTCTACAGAATTCAAATTTTTGTATAAATCTTTAAATATAATAAAAAAAAAACTTTCAAGATGTATGATTCCGAATTTACTTATGTGGACGTGAATTTTGAAGAATACAGTACCTCGGAAGAAAATGGAGAAGACTCTTTCATTGCTGACGAAACTATTCTTGCAAATACCTGGCTTTTATTAAATGAAGAAGAAGAAAATGAGGATTATGATTATGATGATAATTATGATAATAATAATGAAAATAATGATGAAAATAATAGTAGTGAAAACAATGAAACCGATGAAGATATATACATAAAAATAGAAGATACCTCTGTTAAAAGTTTGGATTTAACACCATGTGTTGTTTTAGATATTATAGATAATGAAATAAAATGTTGTAATGGTGAAACAAATTTGCGTCCATTGAAACAAATGATAGGAACGTGGGAAATAGATGCAAATATGGTCAAAGATATTAAGAATAATAATTATAGACTTGAAGTATGTCATTCTCATTTTGCATTCGATAAGAACCAACTTCATACTAAAGGTACAAAATAGTTGAATTCAATTGATCAAAATATTCATTTTCACTTTTGCATTTTCTGTCATAAAAAAAAATGTTTTTTTAGCCGTGGTGACAGTTGCAAGGAGCATTCATGGAAGATCAATGGACGTAACATTCAGGTACCTTGCATCGGTGTTCATAAATGTTCGGCATTTATTGAGGGACCTATTGCACATAAGTCATCTTCCGGCTATTGTGCACAATATATTTGCTCCGAATGTTTTGAACAACATGGTGGTCATTTGTACAAAAAACCAGGTAGAGGTAGAACAGTTTTATTATGTACTGAACAGGGAAAACATGATAATGACACAAGCGACTCTCTAAAATATATTGGAAAATGGATTATGTCAATTGCAGAGTCGAACAATCAGGAGTTGCAAAAAAGACTTCTTTCATTAATAACTCCTGCACTAACCATTTTAAACAATGAATCAATAAATAAAAACTTACCAGAAATGAAGATGGAAAAATTGCCAAGCAAATTACTTGTTCTAACTGCATTGAGGGTGGGAAAAGTTGAATTAAATGTATTAACAAAAGAAAAATTAAAAATTGAAACTCTTGAAGAAGCTTCGGTAATGGGAAAAAAATTGGGAAAAAATATTTTATTTTCACATTCTAAAATTCAAGAAAATATCAACCAGTTAGAAAACCCGAGTTCATATAGAAGCTATTTCAATGCATTACCTGAAACTGTTTTTCACTTTTTTCAAGCTCTTATCACAATCCTTCAACAATGAAAACAAAAAATGATTAATAAAAAAAGGAATCAACATGGACTCCCCCCAAAATCTCTTGATGAAATTCAAATCAAAAGGACTACTACCTTATTAACTTCCATGCTATTAACTATTGCTTTTCCTAGAACAAAATTTTGGCTTTCACACATCATATCATCAATGTGTCAAAATCCAAAATTGTTACCATATTTACGCGAGATCCTGTATTCAGCACGCATTATATCTTACACTAAACGGTATGAAAATCGTCTTGAAAAATTTAGGATGTATAATACTGATTCCCGAGAAAATCTGATTAAGGGATCAAATGTTTGGAACCTTGCCATGATCGATAATATTGACTTTAAGGCTTCTACATTCACACAGGACAACATTTATGATGTTGTGAGACGAACTTCACATGCAACCCTTCGAATGGTTTTTCAGTTTATTTTGCCTACTTCTCTTGATAATTTTATTGAAGATAATGGATCCACTTTTCAACCGCTGTTCGGAGAATCTTCATTTACTAATAATCTTTTAATGATGTATGAAAATACCTTAAATACAATGTTAGAAAATAATGGAAATGCGTTTGATATGGAGGATGTACATTCAAAAATTACCGAACAAATATCTACAGGTTGTAATACTTTACCACCAAAAGTTGTAATATTGGAGCCTTGTGATCCACCCAATTGTAATAATAATGTTCATGCAGCCTGTGAAATGTATTGCGATGATCTATCAATTAGTAACAATGGAAACCTATATGTTACATGTGATCAAGCAATTTTCGGACGATTAATCTCCTATAAAGAAACTCACACAGACGTTCAGCTTCTTTTGGGTCAGTGGCACACTTCAAAAGATATGTGCAGCACTTTAATTACAATTTTTTCGGGATATGTAATATTTAATCTTGCAGCAACTCTTGGAGCACGATTCTTAAATAAATTTGAACGTGTCGTGAATTACCGGGTAACATGTCGTGTTTTGAAATTGATCTGGGTTGCAGTCGGGATTGCACTGTGTCAATATGTAAAGAGAAATGGAAAAACCATGAGTAATATTTTAAATTGTAATAATCAATTGATAAAAGTGTGGTACCTCTTTTTCTGTTGGACAGGATATTTCGTAGATTATAAAATTGGAATTAGAAAAGGAAATTATGAAATGCAAATGAAAAATTTAGCTGCATTTGCACCTCTCTTCCCTACAGCTGGAAAACTTAAGTGTGCAAGTTCTGTATCACACTTTTTAGCTCAAGTTCATGATGATCCACAACTACAGAAATTGCTACAAACGATATCCTCAGTAAATCTTACAAATGAAAGTCATTATCTTGCTTTTGATGAAGCACTTAAAACATATGGTGTAAACTTCATCAAACAAAATATTAGTGGAAATCTTATTGACCAGCTAACCTTGATGATGAAGATCAAAGCAGCTCAAAGTGAGAAAAATCGTTTATCAATGCTTCTTGCTGAATATACTGATGATGTTACAACAAGTCAGAGTGTTCGTGCGATCAAATCACGTAAAGATTCACTTTGGTCTTTGGTTGCAAAATTATCAGATGCTTTTAACTGTCCAGATTCCAATACACATTCTTTATTTAAAAGTGTGCCAGAACTTAATGAAGAAGGTATTTCAAAAATTCTTTCTTTATATGAAATTGGAAAAATGCGCTTTCAACAAATACTTGCTCAAGATGTGTATAAAACTGAGCCGCGAATAACTTCGGGACGTCGTGCACGCAATATAAATGCTTATACCTATGCACAACTTTTGGAAAGAGAGAAAAAAGCAAATAAGCAAGTAGATAACCCTACTCAAGTATCTACTACTCAACAAAATATTTCATCAGCATCATTACCTCTTGAAATCGAACACCAAAAGAAAACACGCCGCACCATTACGGAAGTAGAAAAGGCAATACTTAAACAATTATTTGAATTCGAGCAATTGTCTGAAGACATAGTTTCAAAAGTATTGTTACAACTTCAAGCTATTTCTTCAGACTGGACGGTGTTACTAGTCGACCTTTTAGGCTAATTTTATTTTCCAAAAGGCAATTTACAACTAGCAACTCGTAAACAGTTACTTTAGTTTACGAATTGAAGAGG